GGGTGGGGTTTGAGCCCATGGCATGTGAATTGCAGAACTCCAGGGCAATGCATAAGCCACTGGGCTAGCTGGCCATGTCAACCCCTGGTTTAAACCAATGGCCCACCCAGTCAGGTCACCTCTGCTTAACCCTTTGACTGTCGCAAGCCCCTTTCTGAAACTGTCATTCTGTGTCGCAAAATTTTTGGAAAAAAAAAATTATTTTTTTTCAAATGATAAAGAATCTTTTCCTGATAGTAATGACACCAAAAGTATGAAATTTGGTCGAAAACTCACGGAATTACGCTCCTGTGAAGTTAGCGGTCTTGGTGACATATATGCATCAGCAATTTCGTCAAATTTGAGCCCTTTTTTTGACCAGTTCTGTTGTTCCAGTTGACCAAACTCATAGCTATTTCTTTAGAACTCCATTTTTTCTATCAGTTGAGTGCAAGAAACTGCCCATTTACCAATTTGAAGTACCCAATAAAGTGGTCAGAAATTGATAATTTGGCCAATTTTGCGCAAAATAAAAAAAGATGCCAATTTCAAAATAGGGTCCAGAATAAACAATGCAGACATTCTTGGCACTAAAATAACATATCCTCTGTTTATTAGTCATGTCTCTAGGCCCCTCTTATATTACTACTGCTTTCTATTTTGACATTTTCTTCATACAAAAAATACAAAATTTACTGTTATGCAGACTACTGCATTATTGTAAAAATGGTATAAATAATATCAGTGTACTGGTGAAAGAATATCAGATTCCCCAGTTGACATGTATTGGACGTGTGGTGTGATTTTACTTACTCTTGAACTTTGGTAAAAATCAAACATTTCCGCTACTTTGAGCTCAATTTCAAGGTCGTTTTCATCGAGAAAGCAATCAAAATCATCTCTATTTCTGTAATATGTTTCCCATTTTATCACGTGAGACCATGAAAATAAGAATACAATGATAAATACTATATGAAAATACACCTCAAAGACAGCATTTTAATCCAAAAAAACTGTCAGTTTTTTTTCTCATTATGCACTGCATGTTGCAGGATTTTTTTTATGTGGTGCAATCTGACTACACAGACTCATTCTCTCACATGTAGGACTACCAGCTTTCTCCTGCTTGATTTGAAGCCACTAGAATTTACGCGTTTAAATACGTCCGAAACAGTGGCACGTAAGACGTATATATACGACCAAAACAGTGAAAGGGTTATGGAAGGAGCACGGCATCTGACCCAGTAGCACCAGCTAGTCAGGTCCAACTCACACCCACCCACACCCACTCATGTATTTATCTAACCTATTTCTAAAACTACACAATGTCTTAGCTTCCATGACAGTACTCAGGAGTTTGTTCCACTCATCCACAACTCTAATAGAGTTTCCTATATCCTTTCTGAATCTGAATTTTTCCCGCTTAAAACCATTGCTGCGAGCCCTGTCTAGGCTAGATATTTTTAGCATGCTATTTACATCCCCTTTATTCATTCCTGTTTTCCATTTATACACCTCAATCATATACCTCCTAATTCTACGCCTTTCTAGAGAGTGCAGATTCAGGGCCCTCAGTCTGTCATCATAGGGAAGATTTCTGATACATGGGATCAACTTTGTCATCCTCCTCTGTACATTTTCCAGTGCATTTACAGTGGTCCCTCGCTTTTCATAGTTCTCGGCAATCGTAAATTTCGCCAATCATAGGGGTATTTTCATATAAACATGGACTCGCTTTTCATAGGTTGACTCACGAATAGCAGTTCGTCCGGGACGCGTATGCACGGTGTGAGCCGGGGCGGCCTCCCTACCCAGCCAGTCTGGCATTGTTTACCAGTGAGTGAAGGTCCCCTCAAGTGCTTCTACGAAATATTTCAGAATATTCCACTCATTTTAGTGCTTGCAAGTACTAAATAAGCTACCATGGCTCCAAAGAAAGCTCCTAGTGCCAAGCCTGTGGTAAAGAAGGTGAGAAATATGTACAGTGACAAAGTCTTGGGCCATTTTAGGGAAGTGTTAAAGAGACGCCAGAAACAGAGCTCTCTCCACAGTTACTTTGCGAGACAGGACTAGAGTGACTCTCAAGGTGGTCCTAGTGGCATTAAGAAACAGAGAGGAGAAGCAACCCCAGAGAAGCAATTGGTACCTGAGGTGTTGATGGAAGGGGATTCCCCTTCTAAACTGTAAACAATCCAATCTCTCTCCTCCTCCAGTCTCCCATACACTAAGAAGAATCTCCAATAAAGGTAAATTTTACGCTGTTAATGTTTCATTCATCATTTCCCATTGTATTGTTTATGTACTACATGTATATTTCATGTAAAAATTTTTTTGTTTTAATACTTCTGGGTGTCAGGAACGGATTAATTGTATTTACATTATTTCTTATGGGGAAAATTGATTTGCAAATCGTAAATTTCGTTTATAGTAACGGCTCCAGGAACGGATTAATTACGAAAAACGAGGGACCACTGTATGTCCATTCTGTGATACGGTGACCAGAACTGGGCAGCATAATCTAAATGAGGCCTGGACCACTGTATGTCCATTCTGTGATACGGTGACCAGAACTGGGCAGCATAATCTAAATGAGGCCTAACCAAGGATATACAGAGCTGAAGAACAACCTGAGGATTTCTATTATTTATGCTTCTTGATATGAAGCCAAGGATTCTATTAGCTTCATTGCGAACGCTTATGCACTGCTGTCTTGGTTTCAGGTTACTGCTAACCAGAACTCCTAAATCCTTTTTGTAATCAGTAATATTAAGATCTACATTATTCAGTTTATATGTGGCATGGTTATTATCCTTTCCAACATTTAGAGCTTTGCATTTGTCTATATTAAACTGTATCTGCCACTTCTCTGACCATTGCATCAGTGTATTCAAATCATCCTAGAGTGCTCTAATGCCCTCATTTGAATGAATTGGACGGCCTACTTTGATGTCATCAGCAAGTTGCTTATGTCACTATTTATTCCCTCATCTATGTCATTTATGTAAATTGTGAACAACAAGGGGCCCAACACTGACCCCTGTGGAACACTGCTTGTGACATGCCCCCATTCTGATTTCTCCCCATTTATGCAAACTTTCTGCTGCCTATTAGTCAACCATACCTCTACCCAGGAAAAAATTTCTCCTATTCTGTGTGCCTTAAGTTTCCTCAATAGCCTCTGATGTGGAACTCTATCAAAAGCCTTACTGAAGTCCATATACACAATATCATATTTAATACCATGATCTACCTCCTCAAATACCTTAGTGAAAAAAGTTAGTAAATTTGCAAGACAGGAACACCCCTTTGTAAAACCGTGTTGAGATTAATTAATCAATTCATGCCTTTCAAGATGGCTATGAACTGCCTCGGCAATTATTGATTCCATAAATTTTCCCACTATGGAGGTAAGGCTTATTGGTCTATAGTTCAAAGCCAAGGACCTGTCACCTGCCTTGTAAATAGGTATTACATTTACCATTTTCTACTTATCTGGCACTACGCCAGTTTGTAGTGATATGCTGAAAAGATTAGCCAAAGGTATGAACTTGCAAAAACTTTTAGCACCTCAGTAGTTCTTAATCTTTAACATGGAAGCTGCCTGTTTTCTAGGTGGAGACAAGCCTCTTACATATTTAATTTCTCCAGTCTGGTCCAGTCATTCCCTGATCACTAATTACCTTTTGCATACTATATCTACAAATTTTTTTTGTTTATGTGTGTTGTCCTTAACAATGCAGCAAGTCATAACCACAAGACAGCAATTTTCCTTACTTTAATGTTTTCCAAGATTTATATAACTAATATGTAACTGCTTAATTTATGTAAAATACCTGCATAAAAGAAACTGGAAAAAACTATTCAGTGTGCATTAACATAAAAAAACTACAAAATATCAATACCAGTCCCATATGCATTCCTGTGCATATGGTACTGGTATTGATTCATCTGCTCTAACTGTACAGAATTTCTACATCTGTTGAACATGCCGGCGATTGATAATTAAGTGAAAAAGTGTTTAACCCTTTAGGCATATAGGTCATGAATCTGTACATGCAGTTTAACCTCCAGAATGCACAAGCTGAGATTTCACTCTGGCCAGCAAAAAGCATTTTGAAAATTCTGAGCTGTGTACCAAGATGTTTAAGACTTTATTGAATCTGACCACAATTGCTTTCCCAGGGCTTAATCTGTATTAATTCTGGGTCATTCTTTCTTATGAATATCAACATTAACCAGATTATTAAACTAATATATTATGGATATATGGTCTCTGGAACACAAATTGAACCAAAATCCGGGAAAAAAAGATTATGGAGACCTAATTTTGTATTATTCACAGCTTTAGTTCTGTGGGACCTCTAGGAATGCAACTCTCTGGAAAATTACAGACAAAACTGTATTTCAAATTTGGGGCACATTAGTAAGCAGCAAATTGTGATGATGAGTACAATATAGAATACACCATTAAAATATCTACATACTAATATCAAGCAGCCAACACTGATATTTTATATCTCAATGGTCATCACCTACCAAAGCACAGTGAGCCTGCAGCAACCAGAACCACCTGTGATCCCTATTGAGGAATAAGATCATTCTGCAACAAATAACCCTGCTGCATTATGTTCCTGCACTTAACACGATGCAACACCGCCACCTCTTATTACTAATGAAGACTCAGTTGGTGACCTGAATACAGGTACAGTAACTACTCCTGTTTCTCAGAGGTCTTTTCAATCAATGCAATTACATCAAGTTCCTATGCTTTCCCTGATGCATATGCATAATGTTCAGCTGATCACAAAACTTAGATCATGTCCACAGTCCTCCCACAAACACGGTGAATGGTGAATACCACATTCTGTATTTTGTGTATTTAGATTTTTTGTCTTGTATTTTTTCTCAAAAATTTTCCATACACTTTTCATGGGTGGTTGCCTTGCATGTTCAGAAGTCTCAGATGACTTCCTGCCTCAATCAAGCCAAGATTTTGGTGCCTCTGGTACAAATATGCTTACCTGTAATTTTGCCATTACTCTGTTTTGGTGGTTGCCAATTGAATATAGTAGTCGACGGCTCATCGGGAATAGTTACAACGGTGACATCTCTTGGTGGAGATGATGGCCGGGCTACCAGAGTCGTATTGGAAACCACAAGACTCCATGGTGACTCACGTCGGCCCTGTTAAAAATAAAACAATTTGAAGCACATTTAATATTCATGTATCCCTTGCCATATGCAACAAATGCATATGGCAAATGCATATAGTACATAAAGTTAGCTAACATAATTTGTAAAATGTAAGATTTATTGTGAGACTTTGCAATTCCACATTTCTTGACTGATTTTTATCAAATATGAGTTTACTACAAATGCACCAAATAGTCACACAAAAAATAGATTTACTGCTATGCAGACTACTGCATTATTGTAATAATTGTATGTATAAATAATGTCAACCCATTCGTGACTGCATATTAGACTGGCCAGTTGGACACACATTGGACAGTGACGTCATTTGTTTACTCTTGAACATTGACAAAAATCAAACATTTCCGCTACTTTGAGTTCAATTTCAAGGTACTTTTCATTCTGAAAGCAATCAAAATCATATCTATTTCTGTAATATATCTTCCATTCTATCAAATGAGACCAAAAAATACAAGAATACAACCATAAAAACCATGCAAAAATATATCGCTAAGGGGAAGCTAATGGCTGAGATGTGAATTCCATTATTTATGGTCCAATCTCTTTCAATTTTGGTGTACGTTAAGAAGCATCTTTCCATTATACATTACTCAAGTTTCAATAAGAGAGTCCAACAAACAACTGAGATCAAATTCCCTAGATCAAGAGCAAGAGCCCCTCACCAGTGTCAAGGAACCTCTCTTGAAGCACACTCGCATCTGGAAATTTTGCTCGCCTCTGGAAGCAAAAAACTGACTGAGCGACTGCTCGCATCTGGAAAAACTTGCATGTGGACGCACTCGTAAGTAGAGGTTCCACTGTATTCTGCATCAGAGAGTAATAGAATACATCATTGCTAACTGTAAGCAAATAGAGAGCCACTTCAGTCATTCTTCTCTAGCCTGAAGTAAGCTATAGCGCCTCTGAGAACAAAATGAACCATCAAAGCACAAGCTTATTCAGAGTGTACCAACCCACTGGAATAGCACTTGTTTAATGTTAGATCATAAGTGTGAACAAAAACAAGCCATTGCAATGTATTTCTTAGATAACAAACACCTACCATCATTTGATGAGTAAAAAAGTGGAATTTTATTGCCAAGTTATCTTCATTGTTGAAAATATTTTTCAAAACAATCACACATTTTAGTGAAAGACATTGTGAACAGTGATCTACAACTCTAGGCAAACCTTCCTTCCTTATTTGTGATGCACCTCACGCCTTTGAATTTCATGCCATTATTTCACATTACCGAATCACTCTGCACTTCCAATATTTCTTTGTATGTGAGTGTAAAGTAATAGACTGACTATCAAGTACAGTAAGCAGCCACTTAATGCAAAATACAACCTCATAAAATAACAAACTCTACCTTAGTAGTTTTAACTGCAAACTCATACATTGTGGAGGGCTTGAGATTGTCAATAAGGCAGGTAACATCTGTTGCATTGACGTAACGATAGCGAGGACTGGATGATGAGGCTGAAGAGTACGTTGTGTATCGAACAGTGTAGTACCTCGTGTCACTTATATACTGAAAAATTAATTAGCACATATAAGTAAATAATACTTATCTGAGCTTGCAAGGAATCAGTTTAATTATAATCAGCAATATTATAAAAAGGTTTACAAGGATTCAGAAAGAAGTAACATATTAAAAAGAGCCTTCACAGTCGAAGAAAACATAATGTTAGCTTGTTAAGGTGAAAAAAAAATTGTCAGCAATGACCAAAATTATATTATTTCTTTTTTTATTATCACACTGGCCGATTCCCACCAAGGCAGGGTGGCCCGAAAAAGAAAAACTTTCACCATCATTCACTCCATCACTGTCTTGCAAGAAGGGTGCTTTACACTACAGTTTTTAAACTGCAACATTAACACCCCTCCTTCAGAGTGCAGGCACTGTACTTCCCATCTCCAGGACTCAAGTCTGGCCTGCCGGTTTCCCTGAACCCCTTCATAAATGTTACTTTGCTCACACTCCAACAGCACGTCAAGTATTAAAAACCATTTGTCTCCATTCACTCCTATCAAACACGCTCACGCATGCCTGCTAGAAGTCCAAGCCCCTCCCTCCAACCTTTCCTAGGCCGACCCCTACCCCGCCTTCCTTCCACTACAGACTGATACACTCTTGAAGTCATTCTGTTTCGCTCCATTCTCTCTACATGTCCGAACCACCTCAACAACCCTTCCTCAGCCCTCTGGACAACAGTTTTGGTAATCCCGCACCTCCTCCTAACTTCCAAACTACGAATTCTCTGCATTATATTCACACCACACATTGCCCTCAGACGTGACATCTCCACTGCCTCCAGCCTTCTCCTCGCTGCAACATTCATCACCCATGCTTCACACCCATATAAGAGCGTTGGTAAAACTATGACCAAAATATTTGAAAAATTTAATAAATGAAAATAGAAATCACAATACCGTAGGTGGAACAATCCAAGAATAACTACACTTTGGAGAGGGAACTTTAGCTGATGCTTCAGTTCATCCTAGAGTGATTAACAAGTCACAACCAAGTGAGAAAATGTGGAGAAAACCAGAAGAGAGGTCAGGTTTTGAGGTGAAAAGTCTAAAAATAGATCAACTGAAGAGAAAATATAAAAAAAGTCAGATGAGGAGTATTATTACCGTAGAAATAAAGTCTTCTCTCCAAAGTGTGGGTTATCTGTGAATTAGCAAACAATTGTGACTAAAGTAAAATTAAAATTCTTCCCACTTGCACAAAAATTAAGAATGTGAAGAAAAATTGAGAGTTTGGTTCTAAAATTTTACACAAATGAGCCAAAAATGATGGTGGAACATAGGCAAGAAAGATTCATCATAATTTATACATGGAAAATTCTAGAGGGACTGATCCTAAATTTGCACACAAAAATTACTCCCTACAAAATCAAGAGGCATGACAGATAGTGCACAATATTCCCAATGAAAAGCAGAGGTGCCATGAATACACTAAGAGATAATGCTCATTAAGTATGAAGGGAACAAAACTTTTTAACAACCTCCCTTCATATATAAGAGGAATTACTAAGAGACCCCTGACTATCTTCAAAGAGGGAACTGGCTAAGTTTTCTGATCAGCTTTGCTGTGGTGCATATACTGGATTGCATGTGGTTAGCACCAACATCCCAGTTGGTCAGGTCATCCACTAGGAACCCTCGTCTGGAACTGAGCCATGAAGGTGCCAACTTCTAAAACTAGCTCTTGGTAGGGATTTGCTTGGAAAGTGCCAGCTGATAAACGTCGCTACATCTAACTTTGTCTTGTAGGCCCACATTAACCCTCCTCCCTCTCTTCAAATACAGGTCCTCCATCACAAATCCAGCATCATTGGGACCTGTAGTGTGCCGGATTACTGAGTTTGCCGGATTACAGAATGGTTAGGTTAGAATACACTTAATAAAAATTAACCAACTTAACTTACACAAAGTTCATTGAACATTGGTAAAAATCGAACATTTCCGCTACTTTGAGCTCAATTTCAAGGTACTTTTTGTCATGAAAGCAATCAAAATCATGTCTATTTCTGTAATATATCTTCCATTCTATCAAATGAGTCCAAAAAAATGAGAATACAACCATAAAAACCCTACAAAAATATACTGCAAAGAGGCAGCTAATGGCTGAGAAGTGAACTCCCTTATTTATCATTCGTATTTTTTATTTTTGTTGTCCGTTAAGAAGCATCTTTCCATCATACATTGCCCAAGTTTCAATGAGATAGCCCAACAAACAACCGAGGAAAAAAAAATATTTACCAAAAATCATATATGGCAAGCCCAAGCCAGGTACTGGAAATAAGACACTTTGTCTGACTTTTCTGGGTTATCCTAGGTTCTCTATACATACACTGCTATGTATGATAATCTACGTAACTGTATTTGAGTATACCTTAATACACTTATGTACTTCTAGTCTGTCAACTGAGTACATACAAGAAACCGCCCATTCACTTATTTCAACTACCCAATGAAGTGGTCAGAAATTGGCAGTTTGGCCGATTTCACACAAATTTCAACAGATGCCAATTTCAAAATAGGGTCCAGAATAAACAATGCAGACATTCCTGGCACTAAAATAATATTTTCTCTGTTCATTAGTCATGGCTACAGGCCCCTCTTATATTACTCTTGCTTACCATTTGGAATTTTTATTCACAAAAAAACAGAAGATTTACTGTTATGCAGACTACTGCATTATTGTAATAATTGTATAAATAATGTCAACCCATTCGTGACTGGCAGGCGGACAGGTATTGGACAGTGATGTCATTTGTTTACTCTTGAGATTCACTAAAGAATAGAACATTTTCACTACTGTGAGCACAATTTCAAGGTACTTTTCGTCATGAAAGCAATCAAAATCATATCTATTTCTGTAATATATCTTTCATTCTATCAAATGAGACCGAAAAAATGAGAATATAACCATAAAAACATACAAAAATATACCGCTAAGCGGCCGCTAATGGCTGAGAAGTGAACTCCGCTATTTATGGTCTGATTTTTTCATTTTTGGTCTATGTTAAGAAGTATCTTTCCATCATACATTGCCCAAGTTTGAATAAGATAACCCAACAAACAACTGAGAAAATAATAATAATATAATAATAATAATAATAATAATAATAATAATAATAATAATAATAATAATATCTTTATTTACTACATGTACATGTACAAGGTATACAGGCCTAGCTGACATCAGTGACATACTACTGTATAGAAAGCCACTTGTTATGCTGAGTATTTCAAGAAAATTAGGTCAGTGTCCCAGGATAACACCCACACTATTCGGCTAACACCCAGGTACCCATTTACTGATCGGTAAACATAGACAACAGGTGTAAAGAAACACACCTAATGTTTCTACCCTGGCTGGGAATCAAATATTTACCAAAAATCATACATGGCTAATCCAAGCCAGGTACTAAAAATAAGCCACACTGCCTTTTTTGGGTTATCCTAGGTTCTCTACACATATGCTGCTGTGTGATAATCTATATAGAGAAAATAACTTTTCTTTCATGTTTATGGTGCAGTACGAGTGTATATCACAGTTAGCCCTGTGCTACACTCCGTTTTCTCTAATATAAGCCACCAAGACAGAGATAGGAGAATGGTATTTGTATACCATATCCTCGGTGTTATGCCAAATATTATTTATTCTGGAGTATTTAACGTGTTTTATATTATTTATATTGTTTATTGTGTCATATTAGATCAATTGTGATAGGCAAATAAGCTGTAGTGTTGATATTAGCATAATAATAAAGCATATTCTCCTGCTTCATGAGACTGAGTTCATGACAACCGACAGTGGCTTCAAAGCCACCTTATCTTTAATGGATAATGTACTGTGTAGGTGCTTTACATAATGAGAAGCATTTCTTTTATTCATTGGAACCATGGCTAGGGCTAAAAGTAAGCAGGTTAAAACAATAAATGGAGAAAAAGAAATTGGAATGACTTATGCAGCAAGTAGCGCCACCAAACAGTACCAGCAGGTTGGTGTGGCGACCCTGGAAATTTGAAATTATGCTAGCCAAAATTAGTGCCGAATAACTGAAGGAACCGAATAACTGATTGCCGGATTTGTGATGGCGGACCAGTACTGTACTTCAAGTAATGACTAACATAATGTGAGGCAATATTAACTGAAGTAAATTTTATCTAGCACTGAAGAACATTATAAAATAATTTGAGCAGCAAATTTTGAAGGAATCTGGAATGTAACCCTATTTAATCCATATGTTCTTCACTTCATAACCCCTTCCCCTGTATACCTTAATAAAGCTAAAAAAAGAAAATTTTGTTTTTCTTTTTGGGCCACCCTGCCTCAGTGGGACACGGCCGGTTTGCTGAAAGAAGAAAAACGTTCATCACTTCATACAGCCCTATTATATATATCAGGAACCAATTTTTGGGAATGCAGCAAGCATCTTTCAAAAGGGTTTGCTGTATGACTATATTCCTACTAGGTTGTCTTAAAGATATAGCTGGTTTACTAATGTCATGCAAGTAAGAGATTTACTGTCCCATCTGGAGTTGCTCTGCAAGTGGCTCCAGATTCATGAATGGGTTTACTGTACTTGTAAATATTGTTCTGATCTCTGTACTGTGAGTGGGTATTTTGCCTTTTCTTGATGTCTAGCTTACCCTTCCCTCAAATTCTTCCTGAATAAAATTAGGGTAAAACTCTATCTGCTTCATGCTCTTTCCAAGTGCTGCTCCTATGAATGAACCACAAATTAAATAACTGTCATTGAATTACATAAGTACACATATTATCTTTGAAAGTGCACTACAACTTAGGCTGTGGATGACTCCTTAGCCTGTCATTATATATGAGTGTCTGTTGCCCCTGTTCATCCATATCACAGATACCAAGGTGTAAGTCAACTATTAAGGATTACATCCTGAGGGGTGGTAATATACCTTTGACAGGCCCCGACTTTGAAATGAACTGAGGTAGTATATCAGCTCCATGGTTAGAATATCAGCTCTTACCCTGTAAATTCAACAATGTAAAAAAAAAAATCACTAGGAAACTACCTTTTCTTCTTATAATTATTTCCTTGTTAATAAGGAACACCAATTAGTTACCTACTCTTCTTTTCTATATCTCCTAATTTTACAATTTTATTTGTTTTTTCTTCCAGTCACATTCTTCCAGTCCATTTAAGCATTCAAGTGGTATAGTCTCATGTAAATAACAATAAAAAAAGTTTAATACACTTCAAATTATTAATTTAGTTGCTCTTATGCAAAAAAAAAAAAAAAATAGATAAGTTTATGTGATCACTTGTGGTGCAGTCATTCTCTGACCCTCCACAAATGTTACTCATAAACTCTTTACAGCATTTTAAAAGAAGTAAAATGTAAATGCTAGGGAGTTGGGGAGAAAGGTGGGATTAAATTATGGGGAGTCAAATAAAAAATAGGAGTTGACGCAGTTACTTTTTACTGGTGATATAGTGTTTTTGGGGGATTCTAAAGAAAAGTTACAAAGATTAGTGGATAAGTTTGGGAGGGCGTGTAAAGACAGAAAGTTGAAAGTGAATATAGATAAGAGTAAGGTAATGAGGGTATCAAACGATTTAGATAAAGATGAAGAAAAAAAGGTGAGTAGTGCACTGAGGGATCTATGGAGACAAAGAATGTTATCCATGGAGGCAAAGAAGGGAATGTACAAGAGTATAGTGGTACCAACACTCTTTTATGGGTGTGAAGCATAGGTTACAAATGCTGAAGAAAGGAGGCAGCTGGAGGCAGTGGAAATGTCATGTCTATGGGCAATGTGTGGTGTGATTATTATCCAGAGAATTCGGAGTGTGGAAATTAGGAGGTGTGGAGTTGCTAAAAGTATTAGTCAGACAGCTGAAGATATGTTGAGGTGGTTTGGCCATTTAGAGAGAATGGAACAAAGTAGAATGACTTGGAGAGCATATAAATCTGTTGGGGAAGGAAGGTGGGGTAGGGGTCATCCCCATAAAGCTTCGAGGGAGGGGATAAAGGAAGTTTCATGGGAGAGGGGCATGGAGTTCCAGCAAGCGTGCGTGAGCGTGTTAGATAGGAGTGAATGGAAAAAAATTATTTTTGGGACCTGACGAGCTGTTGGAGTGTGAGCAGAGTAATATTCTATGAAGGAAATGATTCAGGGAAACTGGTTAGATGGATTTGAGTCCTGGAAATGGGAAGTACAATGCCTGCACTTTGAAGGAAAGGTTTAGGATATTGGCATTTTGGAAGGACATCTGAACTGTCGTATCTGAGTGCCTCTGCAAAGACAGTGATTATGTATGAGTGATGGTGAAAGTGCTGAATAATGAAAGTTTTTTCTTTCTTTTTGGGTCACCCCTGCCTCGGTGGGAAATGGCTGATGTGTTAAAAAACAAAAAATATTAATCTAATAATGGCTCAGGATAGAATGACACATCATCTAGCTTCTATTTCCATTTGTGTCTTAGTTGCAAACTATTATTATTATTATCACACCGGCCGATTCCCACCAAGGCAGGGTGGCCCGAAAAAGAAAAACTTTCACCATCATTCACTCCATCACTGTCTTGCCAGAAGGGTGCTTTACACTACAGTTTTTAAACTGCAACATTAACACCCCTCCTTCAGAGTGCAGGCACTGTACTTCCCATCTCCAGGACTCAAGTCCGGCCTGCCGGTTTCCCTGAATCCCTTCATAAATGTTACTTTGCTCACACTCCAACAGCACGTCAAGTATTAAAAACCATTTGTCTCCATTCACTCCTATCAAACACGCTCACGCATGCCTGCTGGAAGTCCAAGCCCCTCGCACACAAAACCTCCTTTACCCCCTCCCTCCAACCCTTCCTAGGCCGACCCCTACCCCGCCTTCCTTCCACTACAGACTGATACACTCTTGAAGTCATTCTGTTTCGCTCCATTCTCTCTACATGTCCGAACCACCTCAACAACCCTTCCTCAGCCCTCTGGACAACAGTTTTGGTAATCCCGCACCTCCTCCTAACTTCCAAACTACGAATTCTCTGCATTATATTCACACCACACATTGCCCTCAGACATGACATCTCCACTGCCTCCAGCCTTCTCCTCGCTGCAACATTCATCACCCACGCTTCACACCCATATAAGAGCGTTGGTAAAACTATACTCTCATACATTCCCCTCTTTGCCTCCAAGGACAAAGTTCTTTGTCTCCACAGACTCCTAAGTGCACCACTCACTCTTTTTCCCTCATCAATTCTATGATTCACCTCATCTTTCATAGACCCATCCGCTGACACGTCCACTCCCAAATATCTGAATACGTTCACCTCCTCCATACTCTCTCCCTCCAATCTGATATTCAATCTTTCATCACCTAATCTTTTTGTTATCCTCATAACCTTACTCTTTCCTGTATTCACCTTTAATTTTCTTCTTTTGCACACCCTACCAAATTCATCCACCAATCTCTGCAACTTCTCTTCAGAATCTCCCAAGAGCACAGTGTCATCAGCAAAGAGCAGCTGTGACAACTCCCACTTTGTGTGTGATTCTTTATCTTTTAACTCCACGCCTCTTGCCAAGACCCTCGCATTTACTTCTCTTACAACCCCATCTATAAATATATTAAACAACCACGGTGACATCACACATCCTTGTCTAAGGCCTACTTTTACTGGGAAAAAATTTCCCTCTTTCCTACATACTCTAACTTGAGCCTCACTATCCTCGTAAAAACTCTTCACTGCTTTCAGTAACCTACCTCCTACACCATACACTTGCAACATCTGCCACATTGCCCCCCTATCCACCCTGTCATACGCCTTTTCCAAATCCATAAATGCCACAAAGACCTCTTTAGCCTTATCTAAATACTGTTCACTTATATGTTTCACTGTAAACACCTGGTCCACACACCCCCTACCTTTCCTAAAGCCTCCTTGTTCATCTGCTATCCTATTAGTTGCAAACTGTTCCAGCCATATTAGTGTAACTTAATTTTCAGGGGCTAATCAACATTTGGCAAAACTTGACTCTACCAGATTCTATGCACTGGATTTTCTCATTTATTTTTGAAAATACACATTTAATTTTGAAAATACACATTTAATTTTGAAAATACACATTTAATTTTGAAAATACACATTTTATTAACCAGTGTGGCTGTTTTAGTATTCCTCAAAACAGAAACTTGGAGAATCTATAAATATACAACAAACAAATTTTTTTAATTTTAATGAAGAAATATTTCAAGAAAACCCAACTTAATAAGTTACTTTTTGTAAAGTCATAAGCTGATCTTTATGTAATTGTTACTTGGGAGTTGGTAAAAAAAAATGAAAAATAACATCATTTGGAAATAAAATGATAAACAGCATTAGCAGACAGATCTTTTACTTTAGCATCATAAAGTTTTTAAAGAACACTGCAATAAAGTTAACTAACCTGATTGCGATTAAGTGTGGCATCTGTCCACTGTAAGGCCACTGTGAAAGAGGTAAGAACTACAGCTTTTAAACCCACTGGAGGTGTAAGGGTTGCTGCTACAGCCTCTTCAGGGGGACGTGTACGCACTTGTTCATACACTGGCTGCCCATCTCCAACATTATTAAAAGCACGAAGACTGATAACATATTCAGCATTTGGTTCTGCAATGTATTAAATTCTTTTCATAGACTAAAGGCATACAGCATGCAAGTTATTCTGCCATTTTTATTAATTTTGTTAATCCAATTATAAACACAAGGAATATGCAAATATGAAACTACTTTTATAATAATGAAAGCAGATACAAAAAAAGTGGATACTAGATAGATATTATATTTATTACAAGAATAATAATTGCTGCTTCCAAGGAATAAGTTAAGTGTTATAGAACTTATATATAATGATGCACAAAGAGGAGGAAGTAGGAACAATAACAAGATATCAAGATAAATGCTGATGGGTGACTGAGGAGGAGTAGCCCTCTCCATATGTCTTAAGAAATATGTAATATGAAATTATCCTACAGTCAGTATATATGAATGGCAAAAATATGCATTCTAAAACTCTGAAAAGCCATCAAGACTGAATCTACCTATGATATATTATGTAATACACACTGAAGACAGCTACTGCAATAAAAAAAATTCTGTATAAATATCTTTGTTATATGGATGCCTTCTTTCCTCTGGGAATTTCCCTCATGGTTATGAAAGTGTTAAAACATAACCAATGAAATAATCAATTACTTTGCAACACCTACATAACAGTCAAGTTGAATGATAAAAGAATTTGGTGACCTAAGTTAAAGGTATACACAGGAGATAAAACAGCAAAAGATATTTGATTTTTAATATGGCTTTCATAGAATGAATTAATGCAGAGTAAATAACATAAATTGTTAGTTTAGAGAAAAATATTTTCATTGTATATAAGGTATTTACTGGACACCCTCCAGATCTCTCTCCTACCCCAATGAATAAATTAAAAAATCAGTTATAAAAGTAAGAACCATGGGGCTAGTGTCCAACTGATGTACAAAGGTTTACTTTTTTAATCAATAGCTGTCTCCTGTGAAAGCAGGGTGACCCATAGAAGAAAATACATTCACCATCCTTAAAGTTTACTTACATGAACATATGTAAGCATTACAAGGCAAAAATCATAAAATATTCCTTTTGGGTATACAGTGGTACCTTACCTTATGAGTTTAATTCATTCCGTGACCCAGCTCATAACTCAATTTGCTCATACAGTGGACCCTTAGTTTTTCTGAGTCTTAGTTATCATGAATTTTGGTTATCGGCAACTTTTTCGTCAAAATATAGGCTTGGTCTTCATGATTTACCTTGGATTTTAGCGGTGGCCCCGCGCACACAAAGCCTGCCACAGATGCACTTAGCACCAGTTTGGTATTGTTTATCGGTGAGTGAGCATCACACCCTGCATTCATACGAAACATTTCGCAATAATCCAGTGTTTTTTGTGCTTGTAACTGCTAAATAAGACACCATGGCCCCAAAGAAAGCTCCTAGTGCCAGGCCTTTGGTAAAGAAGGTGAGAAACACGATAGAATTAAAGAAAGAAATCATAGAGAAATATGAAAGTGGCGTACATGTGGCCGATCCTGCCAGAATGTATGGGAAGCCCCATTCAACCATCATTTCCATTGTGGGGAAGAAAAAGGAAATCAAGGAAGCTGATGTTGCGAAAGGGCTAACTGTGATAATGAAGCAGATGTCACAAACAGTTGAACATATGGAGAAATTGTTGTTGTTGTGGATCCAACAAAAACAATTAGTGGGAGATAGTGTTTTGCAGTCGATAATTTGCAAAAAGGCAAGGCAGCTGCATGCCGATCTTGTAAAGAAAATACCTGGAAGGAGTGCTGCTGTTAGTGAATTTAAGGCCAGCAAAGGCTGGTTCAAAAATTTTAAGAAGCGAAGTGGCATACACAGTGTTGTAAAGCATGGCGAGGGAGAAAGCTCTGATAAAAGCGCGGCTGAAAAATTCATGCATGAATTCAAGGAGCACATAGAGGCTGAAGGACTCCCCCCAAAAAGCGTTCAATTGTGATGAAACAGGCCTCTTTTGGAAGAAAATGCCAAAGAGGACCTACAAAATGCAGGAGGAAAAGGCACTGACAGGACACAAGCCTATAAAAGACAGGCTAACTCTCTTATTCTGTGGTAATGCTAGTAGGGATTTAAAAGTGAAGCCTTCACTGGTGTATCACTCTTAAAATCCCAGAGTGTTTAAGAAAAACAGTGTTGCCAAGAGTAAACTGTGTGTGATGTGGAAGACTAACAATAAGGCAATGGGTCACGAGGGAAATTTTCCTTGATTGGTTCAATGAAGTGTTTCGCCCGAGTGTGAAAAATTCCTCCTGGAAAATAAATTGCCACTCAAGTGCCTGCTGGTAATAGACAATGCTCCTGCTCATCCTCCAGACCTGGATGACCAATTGTGTGAGGAGTTTAGTTTTGTCACAGTGAAGTTCTTCCCCCCTAATACCACTCCTCTCATCCAACCCATGGACCAGCAGATCATTTCAAACTTCAAAAATCTCTGCACCAAAGCAATGTTTCAAAGGTGGTTTGACGTGACCTCAGACACTGAACTGACCCTAAGAGAGTTCTGGCAGGATCACTTCAATATCTTCAATTGCATAACCCTTATAGATAAGGCTTGACAGGGAGCGACTTCCAAGATGATGAACTCTGCTTGGAGAAAATTGTGGCCAGAATGTGTCCAACAGAAGGATTTTGAAGGGTTTGGGGCTGACCTTGTTGACCCTATGCCTGTTGTGGAATGTATTGTGGCATTGGGGAATTCCTTGGGGTTGGATGTGAGTGGCCAGGATGTGGAAGAGTTAGTGGAGGACCACAGTGAAGAGCAAACCACTGCAGAGCTGCAAGAGCTTCATCTGCAACAGCAACAGACTACTGCTCAGGAAATTGCTTCAGAGGAGAAGGAAGAGAGATGGAAGAAGGTGCTTTCTTCAAAGATTAAGGACATCTGTGCAAAGTGGAGTGAGGTGCAAACGTTTGTGGAGGAACATCACCCTGACAAAACTCTTGCAAGCAGTGTCAGCAACATGTACAATGACAATGCCATGTCCAATTTTAGGCAAATCATAAAGAGACGCCAGAAACAGAGCTCTCTGTAACAATATTTTGTGCAACAGGGGTCCAGTGACTCTCAAGCTGGTCCTAGTGCCATTCAAAAACAAAGAAGGGAAGTAACCCTGGATAAGGACTCAGTACCTTAAGCCTTTATGGAAAGTGATTTCCCTTCCAAACAAAAGTAACTTCTCCCTCTCCCCTACTTCAGTCTTCCATACACCAACAAGAGTCTTCAGTAGAGGTAAGTGTAATGTTATTATTGCTTTACTATATTGATTTGTCATTGTTTTCTGTATGTAAATCTATATTTAATCTCTAAAAAATTATTTTTTGTTAATGCTTTTGGGTGTCTGGAATGGATTAATTGGATTTACATTATTTCTTATGGGGAAACTTATTTTGATTTTTGTGAATTTTGGTTTTTGGCAGACTCTCTGGAACAGATTAATCACGAAAACTAAAAGTCCATTGTATATCAAATCAATTTTCCTCATTGAAATTAACTAAAATGCCATTAATCCATTCCAGCCCCCAAAAACCACCCCAATTTAAATTACAGTAGACCCCCGACATTCGATGGCATCGACATTCGACAAATCCGACATTCAATGCATTTTAACGTAAGAACTTCGCCTCGACATTCAATGGAAAACCCGACATTCGATACGATTTGCACGAGACGTGTCCACGTGTGGCCTGAACTGCCCCATGTGTGCCAGTATTTACAAGCCAGCCAGTGTGCACGCATCTAAGGATGCATTCGGTACATTCCATATTATCACTGTTTTTGGTGCTTGTTTCTGCAAAATAAGTAACCATGGGCCCCAAGAAAGCTTTTAGTGCCAAGCCTTCAAGAAAAAAGGCGCTAATGACTATTGAAATGAAGAAAGAGTTAATTGCAAAGTACGAAAGTGGAGTGCGTGTGTCGGAGCTGGCCAGGTTGTATAGTAAACCCCAATCAACCATCTCTACTATAGTGAGCAGGAAAATGGCAATCAAGGAAGCTGTTGTTGCAAAAGGAGCAACTTTGCTTTTGAAACAGAGATCGCTAGTGTTGGTAGATGTTGAGAGACTGTTATTGGTGTGGATAAATGAAAAACAGATAGCAGGAGATAGCATCTCTCAAGCGATTATCTGTGAAAAGGCTAGGCAGTTGCATGATGATTTGGTAAAGAAATTGCCTGCAACTAGTGGTGATGTGAGTGAATTTAAGGCCAGCAAAGGTTGGTTTGAAAGATTTAAGAATCGTAGTGGCATACACAGTGTGGTAAGGCATGGTGAGGCTGCCAGTTCAGACCACAAAGCGGCTGAAAAATATGTGCATGAATTCAAGGAGTACATAGAGGCTGAAGGATTGAAACCTGAACAAGTGTTTAATTGTGATGAAACAGGCCTGTTTTGGAAGAAATTGCCAAGCAGGACCTACATTACTCAGGAGGAAAAGGCACTCCCAGGACATAAGCCTATGAAAGACAGGCTTACTCTTCTGATGTATGCCAATGCTAGTGGTGATTGAAAAGTGAAGCCTTTATTGGTGTATCACTCAGAAACTCCCAGAGCGTTCAGGCAAAAGAATATCCTCAAGGCTAATTTGTGTGTGCTGTGGAGGGCGAACACTAAGGCATGGGTCACTAGGGACTTTTTCTATGACTGGTTACACCATGCATTTGCCCCCAATATGAAAAATTACCTAACTGAAAAGAAATTAGACCTTAAGTGCCTCCTGGTATTAGACAATGCCCTTGGTCATCCTACAGACTTGGCAGAGCGACTTTCTGGGGACATGAGCTTCATTAAGGTCAAGTTTTTGCCTCCTAATACCACTCCTCTCCTGCAGCCCATGGACCAGCAGATCATTTCCAACTTCAAGAAACTGTACACAAAATCTATGTTTCAAAAGTGCTTTGTAGTGACCACAGAAACTCAACTGACTCTAAAAGAGTTTTCGAAGGATCACTTTAATATCCTCAATTGTATAAACCTTATAGGCAAGGCTTGGGAGGAAGTGAGTAAGAGGACCTTGAACTCTGCTTAGAAAAAACTATGGCCAGAATGTGTAGACAAAAGGGATTTTGAAGGGTTTGAGGCTAACCCTGACTATCCTATGCCAGTTGAGGAATCCATTGTCACATTGGGAAAATCCTTGGGGTTGGAGGTTAGTGGGGAGGATGTGGAAGAGTTGGTGGAGGAAGACAATGACGAACTAACCACTGATGAGCTGCTAGATCATCTTCAACAGCAAGAGGCCAGACCTGAGGAAACTGCTTCGGAGGAGGGGATAGAGAAATTGAAGAAGTTGACTACTTCAAAGATTAAGGAAATCTGTGCAATGTGACTTAAAGTGCAAACCTTTTTTGATGAAAATCACCCTGACACAGCTACTGCAAGCCGTGTTGGCAACCTGTACACTGACAATGTTGTGAACCACTTTAAGAAAGTCATAAAGGAACGAGAGGTACAGGCCTCTATGGACAGATATGTTGTGCGACAGAAGTCCATGTGGTAAAAAATTTTTTCATACTTTTGAGTGTCTTGCACAGATTAATTTGATTTCCATTATTTCTTGTGGGGAAAATTAATTCGACTTTCGATATTTTCGACATCATTAGCTCTCAGGAACGGATTAGTATCAAATGTCGAGGGTCCACTGTACTTCAATAATAAAGGCTGAGCTTCATGAAATAAGTCAATAACTTACTTGCCAGATATTCGCCTGACTCAGGAAAAAAAAAATTCTGAGAAAATCACTTTTCTTTCAGTACTTTCCTTTTGGAACTAGTGATCTAGTGCAGCTAGCCCCACAAAAAACTCTGTTTTCTCTTACCCACGACCACAGGAAACGTTACAGGAAGGAGTAGTAATTACTTTATGTGTGGGATTGGTCGTGAACACTCGCCATATTATGGCCTATTTTATTCATTCTAGAATATATATCACGTTTCTATGTTATTTATATTGTTTATTATGTCATATTAGATCAATTGTGATACCTAGTTAAATAAGCTATAGAGTTGATATTAGCGTTATACTGAAGTACGTATTTCCTCTTGCCTCCCAAGAGCCAGAAATTCTGCTGATGTCAGCTAATGCTCCCAGGCGGTTCCTGATTGGCTGCCAGACTACGTATTAGCTCCACCCACTCTCTTATGATGCCAAATCATCAATTATTATATTAGAAAGAATAATACAAGGAACAGTAAAAAAAAAAAAAAAAAGAAAAAAAAAAAAATATTCCTAAAAATTTATGGGATGTGAGCAGTCATGTTGCTAGCAGTGGTGTCACCAAACATGATATAAATGACTATAATTCCTTGTAGGAATGTCATAGAACACTGATTCTTGTACCATTGTGTTGCCATTAAGTTAAGCTATTTCTCTATACGATTAACTCAATTTTCATAATTTTTCCATTTTTTTTTTTTTGCTCGCACGCCGCACACCCCATGCCTCCCCTGAGACTCACTTGTAACTCGGATTTTGGCTCACAATTCAAAGCAAAATATCAACCGAGCGACAGCTCGTAACTCAGAAAACTCGAAAGTTGGGATATTCGTAAATCAAGGTACCACTGTACACATAATAATGAGAAAACTTTGAAAAAATGTAGATTCAAGTTAACAATAAAAAATGACTATAAAACACATTAAACATATGTTGTTTTCAGAATTATCAGGTTTTAGCTGGGTGCTAGTTTAATGGTGGAAGATCCTCTTTTGATGGCAGTAGTAGATGGTGATTTAGGAATTTGCTGGCCTACTGGAAATAGGTTTACAATCCTATTTAAAAAAAATTACTATGTCGTAGATTCTTTAGATTAGGTAGGTATGCCTGTAAATAAACGGAAGGAATAAGTAGTAATAAAAGTATCGAAAAATGATTTGTAAATTTCATAGTTGCTCAACATTAATGAATTGATCCTTGATAACTTTTGTAAATGTTTATGAAAGGCAAAATATATTTACCTAATCCTTCAATTACATAGCTCCTCTGTTTGCTATCTACAATCTTGGAGTACACATCAGGTATACCACGACCCCATCCTATAGTGTAGCCTCGCAACATCACATTATGGAGTGCTGGGGGTTGCCATCGCACCCTAATATGATCCGTCAGAGCCACAGCTACGGAGAAATTTTTATATATTTTAGTCAATCTGTGTCTGGATCTAAGAAAAGCTAACATAAGTGGCATCAAAACACAGCCTATTACTTCAAGATATTCTGTATTTATACAAACAACAAGACTTCTATCGATTCAAACCTAAATAGGTTATTCACATATTAAAATATGAATAATAAATATTTCCATATGATGCCTTTTCTCTGTATCAGTTATAATCCTAAAAATATATAGTATAGTATAAAATTTTATGTTTATTAAGATGAGCTTAAGATAAACTTTTTATTGTACAGTATTATAATTTTATTCTTTAAATAATACAATAAAAAGTTTATCTAAAGCTTCATCTTAATAAACATAAAATTTTATACTATACATTTAAGAATTAGCTTCAACTAAACAGTTTGACATTTACAGAAAATTATTAAAAAAAAAAAGCAGCTAAGACAATTACAATTTTATTATCCATCACATAAATGTTTATTGACTTTCATATCAATACCCTATTTTAAAGCTATATATAAACAATGAAGAAAAACTTATTACCTCTAAGGTTGATGGGCTTATCTGGCACACGATTTTCATCAAGATCGTTAGCAAATGTTTCTGCTATATTCCAGTGTGTAAATGGTCCTGTCCCATTAACTGTTAGGGCAGTCAACTGTAAATGAAGATAAAATAAATACTGTATCACCACATTAAATGAAACAAAAGATTTAAAGTTTTAATGTAATTTTTTTTTAAATATTCCAGCCATCTCCCACTAAGGTAGGGTGACCCAACAAAGAAGAAAACACCTTCGCTGTTATAAAGACTAGGATTTTCAATGTCTATACATATCTAGAAAAGAAAAGAATATAAAAAAGCAATTAGGTACATAAAGTACAGACCTATAATAAACCACTATATCATATTAAATACATGTAGGAAAAATTATCAAAGGAATGCCCACAAATTCTGAATCTCAAATACTAGTACAGTATAACATACAAAGACTGTTGCAAGAATATTAAAAACTTAAAAATCTATTATTCTAATGAATGCTTAATATTTTAGAAACCAGTCCCTCACCTAACCAAACACAAAGGAAAACTTGAGTAAATTCAAGGATATGCAGCAGCACCAACAAGTTACAAGGGTGACCTACTGTAGATCTTTTCTTCCCAGAGGGCTACAGAGCTTGACATACAGAATACTCTGAAGCATACACAAGGTAGGCAAGAACAGGTATGATACCAGAGAAGAACCTAGAAAAAGAGATCATAAATGAAAACTGAATATCTCCACGCAACCCAAAGACATTATTCTTTCTTCTTCTTTCAACAAACCGGCTATATTCCACCGAGGCAGGACAACCCAAAAAGAAAAACAAAAGTTTCTCTTTTAAACTTTGGTAATATATACAGGAGAAGGGGTTACTAGCACCTTGCTCCTGGCATTTTAGTTGGCTATTATGACATGAATGGATTTGGAGTAAGAATTCTGTTCCACTTTCCCATGGAAAATTATTACAGTGGACCCCCTGATTACATAATTAATCCATTCCAGAGAGAGTGACTTATCCCGAATCTGACTTATTCCGAATTAATTTACCCCAGAAGAAATAATGGAAATCCAATTAATCCGTTTCAGATACCCAAAAGTATTAAAAAAAAAAATTTTCTACATGAAATATACATCTACCTACACAGAAAACAATGATACATGAAGAATAAAACAATAATAACATCACACTTACCTTAACTGAAGACATGGTGATGTATGGAAGACAGGAGGAGAGGAGAGGATTGAGTTTACAATTGTTTGGAAGGGGATTATTATTATAATCAAGGGGGAAGCGCTAAACCCGGAGGATTATACAGCGCCTGGGGGGGGATGTGGAAGGCATTCAGGCTTAATTCGGGGAACTGGAGCACAGATCCAATTCCCTAAATCAAGAGCCCCTCACCAACATCAAGGAACCTTCCTTGAGGGGTTTGGAAGGGGAATCCCCTTCCATAAAGACTTCAGGTACCAAGTCCTTATCCAGTGTTACTTCCTTCCTTTGTTTTTAATGCCATTAGGACCAGCTTGAGAGTCACTGGACCCCTGTTGCTCAAAAAAGTGTTCCAGAGAGGTCTGTGTCTGGAGTATGTTAGGAATTGTGTTGGGAGACAGGAAAAGATAGTCCTTCAATATGACACTAACATCAGCTCTATGGCTTATTTATCTAGCACAATTCATCTAAGATGACATAATAAACAATATTAATAACACAGAAACATGATATATACTCTAGAATGAATAAAATATGGCATTAAGAATGTCACGAGTGGTGGTGTGTTGTTTGTTGTTGGGTGTATAAGGGCCACTGAAAGATAAGCCTTACGTAGTGGTGGTGAAGGCGGCAGCAGAGGTGGCGGTGTTAGTCAGTAGCCCTATACCTCCAACAACAATGGAGGAGTCAGTTTCGTGCTGTCCTTTTTCTACCGATTAATCGCTTAGCTTACTTGCTACACTGTTAATGCTACACTTTATCGCTGGCAGGCGCTATAGCCTTTATAGACTCCTGCTGCTTTAGTATCGTACATATTGAAGACTCACTGAAAAACGCATTCTCCCTCCTCTCTCAGCCCTTTACCAAAGGGCTGGCTGGCACTTGAAGCTTTCTTTGGGCCCATGGTGGCTTATTTAGCAGTTACAAACACTAAAAAGAATGGAATAATACAAAATGTATCATATGAACGCATGGAATCGTCCTCACTGGCTGGTAAACAATGGCACACTGGCTGTACATGGAGTGTCAGGGCCACTCAGGCCCTGACACAAATGACTTATACCAAGTTCAGTGAAATTCACTGAGCCAATATTTTGATGCAAAAACGTTACTGATTCCGAATATTACTTATTCCGATGATGTCTTAATCCGGGGGTCCACTGTATTATTATTATTATTATTATTTTTTTTAACAAGTCGGCCGTCTCCCACCGAGGCAGGGTGACCCAAAAAGGAAAGAAAATCCCCAAAAATAAAATACTTTCATCATCATTCAACACTTTCACCTCACTCACACATAATCACTGTTTTTGCAGAGGTGCTCAGAACACAACAGTTTAGAAGTATATACATTTAAAGATATACAACAAATCCCTCCAAACTGCCAATATCCCAAACCCTTCCTTTAAAGTGCAAGCATTGTACTTCCCATTTCCAGGACTCAAGTCTGGCTATACTGTATAAAAATAACTGGTTTTCCTGAATCCCTTCACTAAATATTACCCTGCTCACACTCCAACAGCTCGTCAGGTCCCAAATACCAGTCGTCTCCATTCACTCCTATCTAACACGCTCACACACGCTTGCTGGAAGTCCAAGCCCCTTGACCACAAAACCTCCTTACCCCCTCCCTCCAACTTTTTCGAGGACGACCCCTACCCCGCCTTCCTTCCCCTACAGATTTATACACTCTCCATGTCATTCTACTTTGATCCATTCTCTCTAAATGATCAAACCACCTTAACAACCCCTCTTCAGCCCTCTGACTAATACTTTTAGTAACTCCACACCTTCACCTAATTTCCACACTCAGAATTTTCTGCATTATATTTACACCACACATTGCCCTTAGACAGGATATCTCCACTGCCTCCAACCACCTCCTTGCTGCAGCATTTACAACCCAAGCTTCACACCCATATAAAAGTGTTGGTACTACTATACTTTCGTACATTCCCTTCTTTGTCTCCATAGATAACGTTTTTTGTCTCCACATATACCTCAATCATTTACTTCTATTACAACCCTATCTATAAATATATTAAACAACCATGGTACCTAGGGATTGGCAGAGAGCATGCATAGTTCCTTTGTATAAAGGCAAAGGGGACAAAAGAGAGTGCAAAAATTATAGGGGGATAAGTCTGTTGAGTATACCTGGTAAAGTGTATGGTAGAGTTATTATTGAAAGAATTAAGAGTAAGATGGAGAATAGGATAGCAGATGAACAAGGAGGCTTTAGGAAAGGTAGGGGGTGTGTGGACCAGGTGTTTACAGTGAAGCATATAAGTGAACAGCATTTAGATAAGGCTAAAGAGGTTTTTGTGGCATTTATGGATTTGGAAAAGGCATATGACAGGGTGGATAAGGGGGCAATGTGGCAGATGTTGCAGGTGTATGGTATGGGAGGTAGGTTACTGAAAGCAGTGAAGAGTTTTTATGAGGATAGTGAGGCTCAAGTTAGAGTATGTAGGAAAGAGGGAGATTATTTCCCAGTAAAAGTAGGCCTTAGACAAGGATGTGTGATGTCACCGTGGTTGTTTAATGTATTTATAGATGGGGTTGTAAGAGAAGTAAATGCGAGGGTCCTGGCAAGAGGTGTGGAGTTAAAAGATAAAGAATCACACATAAAGTGGGAGTTGTCACAGCTGCTCTTTGCTGATGACACTGTGCTCTTGGGAGATTCTGAAGAGAAGTTGCAGAGGTTGGTGGATGAATTTGGTAGGGTATGTAAAAGAAGAAAATTAAAAGTAAATACAGTGGACCCTCAACCAGCGATATTAATCCGTTCCTGAGAGCTCATCGTTAATCGAAATAATCGTTAGTCAAGTTAATTTTCCCCATAAGAAATAATGGAAATCAAATTAATCCGTGCAAGACACTCCAAAGTATTGAAAAAAAAAATTTTTACCACATGAAATATTAATTTTAATACACACAAACTGAAGAAGACATGCACAGTTACATGACACTTACCTTTATTGAAGATCTGGTGATGATTGATGGGATGGGAGGAGGGGAGACCGTTGATCTTGTTAGTGTTTAGAAGGGAAATCCCCTTTCATTAGCACTTGAGGTAGCAAGTCTTTTTCTGGGGTTACTTCCCTTGTTCTTTTAATGCCACTAGGACCAGCTTCAGAGTCACTGGACTTCTGTCGCACAACATATCTGTCCATAGAGGCCTGTACCTCTCGTTCCTTTATCCTAAAGTGTTTCACAACATTGTCAGTGTAATAGTCACCAGCACGGCTTGCAATAGGTGTGTGAGGGTGATTTTCATCAAAAAAAGGTTTGCACTTTAAGCCACATTGCACACATTTCCTTAATCTTTGAAGTAGGCAACTTCTTCAATTTCTCTCTCCCCTCCTCCAAAGCAGTTTCCTCAGGTGTGGCCACTTACTGTTGAAGATGATCTAGCAGCTCATCAGTGGTTTGTTCTTCATTGTCCTCCTCCACCAACTCTTCCACATCCTCCCCACTAACCTCACCAATATGAGCACTAGTTCCAGGCATTTTTTCCTGTTCACCTGGGTGTTAGTCAACTGTTGTGGGTCGCATCCTGGGGGACAAGATTAAGGACCCCAATGGAAATAAGTTAGACAGTCCTCGATGATGCACTGACTTTCTTGGGTTATCCTGGGTGGCTAACCCTCCGGGGTTAATCGTTTCTTGGTAATTGTTTCACGTTAAGCCACACCAACAACACTCTCTCCACATCTTCGAGTAATACAGCTGATGGTGGTGCACCAACAACAACAGCTGACTGTGGTGCAGCAGCAGCTGCACCTTTGGCAAGAACAGCTTCCTTGATTGCCGTTTTCTTACCCACAATAGTAGCGATGGTTGATTGGGGTTTATTATACAACCTGACCAGCTCAGAGACAGGCACTCCACTTTCATACTTA